TTGAACCGCCAGCCTTCTGGTTAGCAGTCAAGTGCTTTAGCCACTATGCTACCAGAGCTCCTATAATAATAATAGTAATAATAATAAATAGATAATAACTAATGTTATTGAGGATGTGAAGAAACTGGAACCCTCACACATTGCTAACGGGAACTTAAAATGGTACACTCACTTTGGAAAACAGCCAGGTACTTCCTCAAAAGATTAAACAAAGAATTCCATATGATCCAGCAATTCTGTTCCTAGGTATATAATACTCAAGAAAAATGAAAACATATGTCCACAGAAAAACTTGTATATGAGTGTTGATAGCAGCATTTTTCATAATAACCAAAAAGTAGAAATAACCCAAATGATCAGTCAATTGATCAATAAAATGTGGTATATAGTCATACAAGAGCTCCAGTGGCATAGCAATAAGGCACTTGACTGCTAACTGGGAGGTCAGAGGTTCAAACCCACCAGCCGCTCCGCAGAAGAAAGAGAGGGCAATCTACTTCCATAAAGATTTACCACCTTGGAAACCCAAATGGGGGTCACTATGAGTCAGAAACAATTCAATGGCATTGAGTTTGGTTTAGGTTTTAGTATACAGTCATGCAATGGAATACTGTTCACCAATAAAAAGAATGAAGTACCGATACATGCTAAATGTACGAACCTTGAAAACATGCCAAATGAAAGAAGAAGTAACAAAAGACAACATATAATATGATTCCATTTATATGAAATGTCTGAAATAAGCAACTCTATAGAAACAAAAAGTAGATTAATGGTTGCTTAGAGCTAGAGAGACTGGCAGACAATTGGGAAGCCACTGCTCATGGGGTATGGGGTCTCTTGTTAGAGTGATGAAAGGTTCTAAAATTGGTGGCGGTGATGGTTACAAAGTTCTGTGAATATACTAAAAATCACTGAATTGTGCACTTTAAATGGGTGAATTAAACAATGTATGAAATGCATCTCAATAAGGCTTCATATGAAAAATAAGAAGAAACACTTTAAGTCAAAATTTTTCTGACACTGCTAATCAAGAAAGAAAATAGACACTTGCCTGCTAACCAGACGGCTGGCAGTTCAAACCCACCAGCCACTCCTCGGAAGGAAGGTTGGGCAATCCTACTTCCGTAGTGATACTGCCTCGGAAACCCAAGGAGGGGTCGCTATGAGTCGGGGCTGACTCGACGGCACATAACAACAACAACAACAATCAATTTTATTCCTTAATCAAATGATAAAAGAAAAAAATACAAAAATACTCACTTTCCTTTTCTGGTAAGAACCTTAATCCTTCAATTTATCGATGTAAATATTGATAGTTTACATTACATTACATTACAATACATCTTTCCTCCTAAAAGGTGAGTAACTTCATAAGTCTTTAAAATGAAATCATCAGCTTAGAAACAGTTCACTTCTTGGTCTATTCAGAGTAGCAGAAAGTCTGTAACATCCTAACTGGTACTTCTTTACAGCTGAATGGAAAACTGAAAAAACCCATTTGAGGGTCAGTTCTGAGTCACTTTTCTTTCTTTAAAAGAAAGGGGTACTTGAGAATTGATAAAGCCTGACTTCAAAATATTATTGCCTGAACTCAAGACATTATCCAATCATTCATATTCTCGTAAAATTGTCAAGAGTTATTATTAGCGATAATTATTCTTTCTATTAATGCACAAACAGAATCTTAACATCATAGAGCTATAAAGGAACCTCATAACCATCTAGTATACTTTAGCTCAAAAAATATATTTTAAAGACTTAACTATTACCAGATTTAGTATTAGACATTGGAAAAAGCACATTAATTTCAAAATCATTATACAAGTGATAAATTTATCTCCTTTATCTTGCAGATGGTAGAAAATTAAGGACCAGAAGTTATGTCAAATGCTCAAAGTTGAACAGCTGGTGACAAAGTAATTACTAAAACTCAGATTATGTGGCTTCTTATCTGCTACTTGTTTGTGAAGAACTTCCAGAGTATAGTAATAGAATAATTGAAAATAAAGTATTCACAATCAAAAAGTTAAGGAGCTCTGGTGGTACAGTGCATAAGGTATTTGACTACTAACCAGAAGGTTGGTGGTTCAAACCCACGAACCACTCCATGGAAGGAAGACGGGCAATCTACTTCCGTAAAGATTTACCACCTTGAACAGCTACACAGCAATGAGTTTGGTTTGGTGAGTCATAAAGTTAAATAAGCTCCCTCCCCCTACTTAGCATTCCTTAGAGCTATAAAATGTCTCTCAAGTGTCTTTCAAACTATGGGTCAAACCCACTAGTTAAATCTAAGTTGTTCAGAGTAAGAATCTTTTAAAAAAGAAATGGGATAGAAAATACTAGACTGAATCACACAGAGTAAAGATAAGCGTTGTTTTTACTCACATGGTGATGTAAAATACATTTCTTATGGGGAGTCACCACCAGAAAACTCTGAAAAGCACTTTAACAAAGCAAATCTTCCCTCACTTACCAAATTATAGAATTCCAGCTCTCTTGGACCCCTTGGAGGTGGCTGTAACTGTTTCAAAACTGTGCCATCTGGATGTTGCAGTATACCTAAGGATACAAATCAGAATACTGTAAAGGCTTGGTAATAGTGCACCTTATTTCATAGGGCAGAGTTGTTCCTAAAGTTCCATGAAGATCACCTTCATAAATATAAGGCTTTTCTTTTACTTATTGCAGACATTTTAACATTCAACCAAAATATTTCAGCGCTTGTAATATGCAAAGCATTAGAGCACCAATTCTAAAGAGCTTAATTTTATTTTTGCCAACCACCAACTCTGTCTGACCCACTCAGACTTTCTAATAAATAGAACACTGAAAATTTTAATAAAAATTTTCCGAGATATTAATTTATAGTTAAATAAAAAGCAGGCTAAAAACAGTATGTTTCTTGATCCCATGTTTAGTTTTTAAAATACAGAAACCATTAACAGTAATCATATAACTTTCTACTATTTTTTTTTTTACATTTTTCTCACCTATTACGAGAAAACAACTAAATTTCCTGATTCATTGAAATTATATATGGTATTACAAAAACACCTAGCTAAGGGGAAAAGATGATGATCTGGTGACGCAGTGATTAAAGGCATGTGGCTGCTAACCTAAAGGTCAGCAGTTCGAACCCATGGGAGAAGGAAGAGGCAGTCTGCTTTGGTTAAGATTTACAGTCTTGGAAATAGGGCAGTTCTATTCTGTTTTATATGGTTGCTGTAAGCTGGAATTAACTCAAAGGCAGTGGGTTTGGTTTGATTTTTAAGGGGAAAAGTGAGGGCTGAAATCAGGCACTAATCCTGGAGCTCTGGCAGGTGACAGAAAGAGGTACATTTTATAATCTCTCTAATCAAACAAAGTATCTTTTCTAAAGTCACATTATGTGCTCCAACACTGGCCCTGTCCCTAAACCATGAAGACTCACTGCCAAATTTATATGTTAAAAGCTTAAATTTTCATGTATTCAGATTTTACAAAACCATGCCTTGTTAGCACAGAATAGTTCTCACAGAATAGGGCACAACAAAGCCTAATAAAACTTGATAAACTATGCCACTTGAGTTTCTATTCCTTTTTGGCAAGGGTCAAGTTATTTTTAATCATGACAAAAATGCAGAATTTAATCAACATAAGCAGAAGCCTCAACTTAAGAAGTACAATAAACAAGTTTGTTTGTTTGTTTTAAGACTTGGGTATAAAATAGAACAAAAGAAGGTGTCATTAGGTAACATCGAGTAGATTTTCAACTCACAGCAACCCCATTTGATAAAGTGGAACTGTTGTTGTTGTTATGTGCCCTCAAGTTGGACCTGACTCATAGCAACCCCTCCTTGGGTTTCCAAGGCGGTATCACTACGGAAGTAGATTGCCCAACCTGCCCTCCGAGAAGTGGCTGGTAGGTTTGAACCACCAGTCTTCTGGTTAGCAGTTAAGTACCTTAGGCACTACGCTACCAGAGCTCCCAAAGTAGAACTACCCCATAAGATTTTCTAGGCTGTAATCTTTACAAGCCTTTCTTCTGCAGAGCTGTTGGGCTGGCTTGAACCACCACCCTTCTGGTTAGCAGTCAAGCAATTAACTGTTGTGCTACCAGGATTCCTTAGAAGTAAGGTAAATATTAATAAAGATGGATAAGACTGGTTGGTAAGCAGTCAAAAGATTTTAGCACTTGTTGAAATAAAACTATTGAAGAGGATTTCTAAGATTAGATATAGAACAAAAAAGATATTCACTTCTATGGCAACAGTATATTCTATAGAGATAGTGAAGACTGGTAAATGTGAGGAAGCCCTGATAAACTGAATTCCAGACGGGGAAAAAAAAGTGCATTAAGAAATTAGAAATTTACAAATTAACACTGAAAGGTGCACAAAGGAGATAGAGGACAGATGCTAATACCAACCAGTGTATCCACAATACTGCATTACCAGTAACACCAAACATCAGGCTACAGATAAACACATAAACATCTGAGAGGATCAGATGGGCATCAGTGAACAGAAGTATACTCTAGACCAAGGATAGATTCAGCAGAGGCTAATCTTGCACAGATACCAGTGATACAAAATACCTGCAATCCTGACAGAAACAACAGAAGGAAGACATAGAGTAATCCCTCACAGACACCCAGATACTGTGGAGGAGAGATCCAATGGATCTACTGTCTCAGGACCATAGTACTGGGGGACACCAGACTCAATTGGCACAACAAAATACATTAAAGTCTTGTCCCTCATCCTACATAGGTGAGTAGCACCTGGGGTCTTAAAACCTTTCAAGCTGCCATCTAAGATGCAGCTAATGGCCTCCTATCATTGGAAGCGAAAAAGAGTGCAAAAAAAAAGGGGGGGGGGCATTTGGAAGCAATCAGCCTTAGGACACTATGGCTCTCAAGACCAGAAGAATGAGATGGTGCCCAGCTACCAATGGCAACCACTCAGGAAAGAGCCAAAACTGGAGATCCTGGATAGAGTGGGAGGAAAAACATGGAACAAAATCAAAAAACTCAATAATGACCAGAATTACTGGTCAGATGGAGTCTGGTGAGACTCCCAATACTATGGCCCTCAGATGCATTCTGGGCCTGGAATAAAACTCACTCCCACGGGCTGGCTCTCAGCCCAATAGCAAACAAGATGTACACGCAGACCACTCAACCCAGAGTGGCGCACCCACATACTCTATGGAAATGCATCCTTGGAGCAATTGACCACGGGGCACCAGAGGGGCAACATTCACACAAGGAAATGCAGGAGTGAGTAACTATGAGGGGCATGGGGGGAAGGGTTACTGGGCAGGGAGGGGAGGAGACTGGGTTAAGGTTGGGCATGGTAAATGGGGAGTGAAACTAAATGTACATGTAATGCTGAATATAAAACAAACTCTGCTCTGTAAACTTGCACCTAAAACACAATAAAAAATAATAATTGTACATGATATATCAAGTAAATGTACTATTTTTAAAAAAGCACAGTTTACTATATTAAAAATAAGATAAATAAGAATTTAGGGCAAAACAATACACATTTTCTGTTGATAGACGGTATAATTCAAAACAGACTAAAATAACTATAAACCTGTATGTTCAAAAATTGCATTGCAAAAAAAATTGCACTGTAACATATAAGGTAAAATACATTGGAAATCAAGGGAAATTTAACAAAAACTAAATACTAGCAGTTGTCTCTCATTATGTCATAATCTCAACTAATAACATCCCTAGAGAATCTGACAGAATCAAATATAGAATCATTCTGGAGGAAAATATCAACAAACCAGGACACAGGATTCTCTCAGAAAAAAAGGAATAAAATAAACTTCACTTAAGATGATATGACAATCAAAATTATAAAACAAATCTTGAAACATTCCATCAAAAGGAAGTGTCATAAAACAAAGCAAGCCCAGGATTAACTAACCACCCAAGTGTGTCATCTCATCCATCCTTCTAAATTCAGTAAATGCATATTGAGTATCTAATATGTATGGGGCATTGTTCTCTACTCTAGGAATGCTACAAGGGAGGGGGAGCATTCAACTGAGGGAGTCTATAAACAAAGAAGTATGTAAAATACGTAATATTATGTTAGACAGTAATATATATTAAGAATGAAAATAAAGCAAGGTCAGGACAAACAGATGGGATACAATTTTAGATGGGATGGTTAGGAAAAGTGTCTTAGATTAAATTAACCCAAAAGCAAAGCCTGAGACAAGGGTTTGTGTGCAGGTGGTTTATCTCAGAGATGACCCCAGGGAACAATAATGAGGAACCAGAAAAAGAGGACAGGGAAGGGAAAAAAAAAAAAAAAAAAAACTAGTATGGAGGTGCTTTACAAGGAAAAAAAAAAAAGAAATTAACAGAAAACAAGAAATGCTGGCAAGGGACTCTGGAACCCTTATACACTGCTGGGAGGAGTATGAAATGTTATAACCACTATGGAAAACAGTACGGCACTTGCTCAAAAACCAGGAATCGAATAACTTATGATCCGGCAATCCCAGATATATACCCTAGAGATCTAATAGAAAAGACACTAACAGACATATGCACACGTATGGTCATTACAGCACTATTCACAACAGCAAAATGATGGAAACAACATAATTACTCATCAGCAGATTAATGGACAAACAAAATGTGTTATATACATATAATGGAATACCATGCAGCCATAAAAAATAATGATGAATTCTCGAAACATAATATAACATGGATGAATCTGGAGGACATTATGCTGAGTAAAATAAGTCAATCACCAAAGGACAAATATTTTATCATCTCACTTTTATAAGACAAAAATACGTGCATATACCAGGCTTATTGGTCTGATAGAGAATGGTAAAACCCCTGAGACTATGGCCCCTAGTCACCCTTCAGGCCTGGAATTTAACTCACTGCTGTGGCTTCCAGCTAAACAGGCACATAGGATAAACATACACATCAGGTAGGTACACTCCTTAGAACAATCAACCATGGGAGATTGCTCAGAGGGTAGAAATGCATGGCAAAGAAGGACACGGAAAATGTAGCCACAAAGAAAAAGTGGGAAGAAGGCCATTACATTGTGGGAATTGCAATTAATGTCAAGAAACAAAATGTGTATGGACTGTTATATGAAAAATGAATTTGCTCTGTAAACTTTCACCCAAATCACAAAAATAAAATAAAGTTTAAAAAAGAATAGGTATACATACAAAGACCAATGTTCACTGATGGTTACTAGGGATAGCAGGGCAAGAGGGGAGAAGAAGAAGCACTCTCTAGATAATAGATACTTGTTATTTTTGGTGTTGGGAAAGGTAGCACCAAATGTGGGGGAAGTGTACACAAAGAAATATACAAGATAAAAACCTATGTTTGCTAAGTATATAACAAATATAATTTTTCAACAAAAAAATATGTATGCTTACATGTGTGTGTATGCACATATGTGTATGGGTATATAAATGTGTATACATACATGTGCACAGATAGATGTATTATTTGTATGTGTGTATGCATATATGTGTGTGCATGCATATGTATTCATAAGAATAATAACTCACATAGG